AACAATGAACTGGGTTTGCCCTCTCCTAGAGAAGGCAGATCTGCCCAATTAGAGTATTGCAGTGTTCTTAATACGGATTCGCTCTTGAGATTGTTCAGAAACTGCAGCTGGCACAAAATACCGTATCTGGGGCAAATGCTTTCCAGCCTGTGCTTTTCTAATTGACTGTCTTTTTGTCTTCTTGATCCAGTGACTGGTTTGTTCCTAGGTCCAGCAGCCAAGAGTCAAGAAATCCAAAAGAAGGCTCAAATGAGAAGGTTGCCTCCCATAGAGAAGGTGTCTCTATGACAGCAGCCATGGAGTTTCCTCCCAAGAGAGGTCAGATTAGTTTCATTCCAGTAGATGTTATGTGGTGAGTGAAAATTTCTTTGGTGGTGCAGTCATTAACGTGTTGAATGTGAACTGAGCAGACCCAAGTTCTACTTGGATATAGAAGTTAGTGGTTAACTATGAGATGAAGCCACTCCAGAGAGTTTCCTGGAGTAAAATGAGGGAAGACCCTAATTTTACTTCCTTGAGCAATCAAAGAAAAGGTGAGATATAAATGCAATGAGTGAATGAATAATAAACATGATACCGAAGTTTTAATTCTTCTTGTTTTCAACTTTGTATTTAATTCTGTTTCAAGTTATTTATTTGTTCTGAATGTATCTATTGTCTAGCCTTTCAGAGAGGCACAAAGCAGCTTAAAAGCAAGAAAAGGCTTGGATGCAACCACATATAAATGTACAAAAACAGCACAATCAAAACTGAATAAATCTGAGCCAGATCTGAGGTTGTTTAGGCTAGAATGTACATATCAGTTTCCTAGAATGGCCAATTTGAACAAATACGTTTTTACAACTTTCAGCCACAAGCAAAAAGTCTGTAATCCAAAATTATTGTCAGTTCATATAAATTCAGGTACCCCCATCTGTCGTTTCTTTCTCTTTAAACAAAGTGTAAAGATGATGCAGTGTGAGTTTAAACCACAGGATATAATTCTTATTCCTTTTTACCTATTCTGATTTCCTTTTCTGTTGTTTCTTTCTTTGCTCATCTTAAGTATGGATTGATTGAGCAAGCCGGCATAAAACAAGTTCCTAATCAAGCTTGTTCAAATAACAAATACTTAAAAGTAACTATAGTTACTACTTTCAACATGATGACAAACCAAGTTTAGTTGAAAGTGGATATTGTCTAAAGGAGAAAGCAATTATCTGCTCATTTTCCCCATTACATATTATAATTTGACTTTATAGCCAGGTAAGATCAGTATCCCTGCTCCATTCACAGCACTACAACAAACCATGTGAAGGAATGGCCATCAGCAGCCATTTTAAACAATGAATGTATACAACTTTCATGTGGCCTGCAACTTGATGATTCATCAAAGTATCTATAAGAGCAAAATATAACAGATGTTTATTATTAAATGGCTATAGCATTTAAATTTGGAAGTGAGCAGAGCACTGAATGTGATGGCTCCTATGAGGCCTCTGCTTAATCACTGACCCAAGCAGCTCCCTTGGATTACGAAGGAGCCAAGGGAGATATAGTAATGGTAGCAGAAAGCCAGAAGTGGACACAAGTGAGCCCTGGCAAGAGTGCATGATTAAAGTCCACAGTGGCACTAAGAACAGCAAAGTATCAATTCTTCTCCATGCTGTTCAAAATAGCCCAGATCCTTTTAGGGAAAAATGGGCAGGACAAAACCACTTGCAGGTCCAACAGATGAATCTGTGGGCTTCTTTGTGGTTAAAGTCTACCAATTGGAGCAGACACCAGTTGGACAAGGTTGAGTGTGGTATCTTGATGTTTTCACCTGGGACTCTTCAGAGATTGTGGAGTCTGAGGAAGTAGATGGACTTCTTTGTAGCTTGATTTCTGCTCTCTGTGGGCTTGATTGAGGTACTTGCTGGCTCCTTTGGATGGATAAGTGGGGCACAAGTGGGTGGATCCAGGAGGCAGTCAATACTTCTTTGAGAGAAGGGTAATATTGCCTATCCTGAAGAAGCCTTCTCTGAACCTGGCTGCTATGATAACTTTTGCCTAGTCTCCAACGTTTCCAATCATGGGACAGAAATGACATTGTTTGCTCTAATGGATTACCTGTCAGGACCTAGACAAGGGGCATGTGTTCTTCTTGGTCCTATTAGACCTCTCTAATATGTGACCATGGTATCTTTCTGGATTACCTGAAAGGGTTGGGAGTTGGGGACACCTTAAGTAGATGAATATGAATAGAGCTGAAGAAGAAATTCAACAGCCATTAGGTAAACACCAACCCTGGAAGGGAGGAGGGAATGAAAAAGAAAAAATGAAGATTGATTCTCTTTGGTATAAGACTGGGGAAAGAGAATCTCTGTCAGGCTTTATACAGTAGTGTTCCAGTAGTTCTTAGAGTGTCTGTTTCCTGACCTAGCCTACCTTGAACGGCTGACACTGTAGTAGGTAGTTCCACTACTTCCTGAGTAGGCAGTTCTAATGATGATCAAGGAGGGAGTGCTTAAGTCCATGGGTGCTCCATTGTGGGGTGTCAAAAGCTCAATGCTTTCCCCAATGTTATTCAACATCTGCATGAAATTGCTGAAACTGCTCATCCATCAATTTGGGACAAGGTGTTATCAATATGCCAATGACAATCAACTATATATCACCACCCTGGGCCAAGCCAGAGGTGCCATGGGAATCCTGTTCTTGTATTTGCTTTTGTGCTCTGTAGTTCACAGCCCAGAACTCATAAGGATTGGGGCAGTCTACAAATAATGTTAAATAAATAAACAAACAAATAAATACATTTCTAAAATAAAGCATTTGGGTCTTTAATTTGCTTGAAAACCATAGCTTCTGACCTTTCACTTAATCTCAGGTATTCAGCGACTGGTTTGATCACACAATGTCTCTGTGTTGCATCCTGATTCAATGAAGTCACGAAGGAGTAGAAGAAATGTGTACACCTAGTTCATCTTCAGATGGATTCAGATGATGCCAGCCATGTGGCATTGATGAGGCACAATCATGAGACATTGTGGAATTTACAGTTTAGTATGTTGATTTCCCATCACACTTCAAAGTAGTTCTATACATTCCTATACCCATTCAGAATATACTCTGCATGATTTATGATGTCTTGGTCCACCTTGCAGCCTGAGCCTATATCACTACCTAAGTGAGCCGTTATACATACACGCAGTCCGCCTGAAGTTTATGCTGGAACAATTGCACATGCTGATAACAAATGCCTGTGTACTGTTTGGCCATTTCCACATGGCTTGAAGTTCAGCCTACTTGGACATTACCCAAATCAGCCTTCTCCTTTCACACATTCTCCACAATTTCCAACTGTAGCATGGCTTTTACTACATCTTCCAGGATTCCAACAAGCTTCTTACGGGAGACGTTGTCCAAAACCATGCTTCTTGAGAAATATGGAATTGGAGGCCAGTAGATCTGGAAGGGAGGGTTAACCTAATTTTTTCATCCGTTGCATTAATTGTTCATCTTTACAGTTTCTCTTTTTAATGATGAATCAGTTTATGTGTTTGGCCATCACACAGCTGTGGGTACTCTTAAATTGGCTACCACATGAGGTGGTCTTTGGTTATACAAATAGTCATGCCAGAACCACTGCTTAATGGGAAAGCAGTGATGAGAGGAGAAAGCAATGCTCAATAGTTGGAAGGACACTTACTCTCCATCGATTATACAACAGTGTGAAGAACTTTCCTATCTTTGGACAAGCACTGTACCACTGGGAGCCCCAGTGAAGAATTCTTGAGATACTTGGACAGCACATACTAACGGAGATGTTTAATTTCTCATTGTTTCCTGTTAAGTAATGGTAAAGACTTTTTCTTGTTGACAATGATTCCTGGCAATCATACAGAAGCCCTTGCCTTCTTCCAGAATGCGTTTCCAACTTCCCAATCTAGCTACAGCCTTGAGATTTCCTGATCTTCTTCCAACCAAGTCTTAACGGGGTTCAACCCTGGTTGGCATTTTTGAGATTGGCTGAGTGCTTATGTTAAGCGAACTGATTTAAATATTAATAATTCAGCTGTATGAAACATACATCTATATTGACTGGTGTATTTTTATTTATTAAGTTGACACATTGTCAACTGCATTGGAACTCATAACAGTTGTCAAGATGAAAACATCTGTATGTGGAATAAAATTTTTGATCCATATGTGGAAGCTCTGACTGTGACCTTTTTCTATTCTTTTCTCCCCTTGTCTTTTTTCTCTTTCATATAAACTAAAATAAACACACCCATCTCTCTGATGAGGGCATGAAACTATGCCATCTGGCAACTCTAAGAAAAGAAATTGCCACAGTGGCCTGACCCACAAGAAATTACACCGCAGCCACGGCCACTATAGGGGTTAATCCCAAACCACTCGAGCAAATAAGTCTGCGCTGGAAACAGGGTTCTACAGTAACCCGTCCCAAAGAACTTCTCGGGAGTTTGGTCGCCCGCGCCTTCGAACGCAGGAACAACGCGCGCGGCTGCAGCGCTTCGCTTGCCCGGGCCGCCCACGTGACCGGAGCGTCGGCCAAAGTTTGTACGCGCGCGTGTGTGCGAGAGACCCACTTATGAGGGGCATCTTCTTTTTCTTCGAGCTCAACTTGAGATGCTTAATTCCCGCTGCGCCGGCTTCTTCTTTCGTCTCTTGCTCCGGCACTCGCTGCACCTCCTTTCCACTCCGGTACGCGGGGAAGGCCGGCCTCTCTGGAAGAGCTAATGGTGCAGTTGACTCCAGGGCGGGGAGGAGGAGGAGGAGCACCCGCCGCGGATTAGAATGAAAACAGATCAGTCAATGGATTTGGGTTCCGGAGATCATCTGACTTGAGTTAACAAACCCCAACTGGGTTTCAAAGTTGGGAGAGAGAAAAAGTTTCTTTTCTCCTCCCCTTTGGGTCACCCCCCCGTTTTCTTTTTTAACTTTCCTCAATTGGCGGTGGGCGAAAACAGAACTCTCCTCTCTCTCTCTCCTCCTCCTCCTCCCCCCCTCCGTCTGCCTTAATTTTCCCCCGAGCGTGCGTGTATTGATGTCCTACGCAGGGATGATGGATGGCAGAAGGACAGAAATACGCCAGCAGCAGGGGCGCTCAACACTTTTTTAAACTCTCCCGGCCCCTCTCCTTCCCCCGGCGATCATCAATGAGCCTCGGAGCGGGAGAAAGAAGGGAAAAGAATCCGGACGAGCTTCGGCAAGGGTTGGCGGTGCCGGCGGCGGCAGCAGCGGCTTCGCCTTTCTTTAAAAGGGGGGCAGAGCGACGGTGCACAAAAGGGAAGGACGACCGGAGGACCCGACTCGCTCTTCCGCACCCCTGAAGTGGACGATGGGGAGCTGGGCTCGCCGTCCTGCTCTGGAGCCGGAACAGCCGCTGGCCGCGTGAAAACTTCTCTTAGGGTAAAGTCGCGGCTCCCGTAGAGCCGCTCATGACTTTTTTCCCCCCGCGGCGTATCGGAATTCTCCTGGGGAGGGGCCGGAGGGGACGCGGCTCCAGGAGCGGCGATTCCTCCGCTTCCTTTGGAGAGGACGGGGACGAGGGAGAAACACGCGTTTTCCCGCCGTCGTCGCCTCCCCCCTCCTCTCGGGTGGGTGTGACGGCCCAAGGAAAAAAAAAAGTTGGGACGGGTCGCCCCCGCGCAGGAAGGGATTGCAGCCCGGTTGCCAGGGCGGAAAGAGAAGGAGAGGAGGATGCGGCTCCAAAACTTAGCGGCCGCGCCTGGCTGCTCCGCTGCAGTCGAAGAGAGCGAGCTGGCCAGGGGCGCGTGGGAGAGAAGGGGATCAAATTGGCCAGGCCCGACACGGTGGAATGTGAAGCCGAGCGAAGGGGGAATCCGACCTCCTGTCCCGCCGGCCTTCTGCAGTGGGGCGGGGTGTGTGTGTGGAGAGGTCTCCGCTGCTTTCGCCCTCTTTGTGGGCAGGTCAATTTGAAATCGCCTCTCTCAGGTGGAGAGTGTGCTGGTTCATTCAACGACCAGCGGCTCGACTCGGCTCCGTCTCCTCCCCTCTCCGCACTTGCACAGGTTTGCGGGAATTTAGCGGACGCTGCGTGTGGCGGTGGTGATGGTGGGCGCCCCGCACTTGCCTGCAAAGCGATTTCGGCAGCGCTCCGGGACTATTTTGCGGACGCTTGGGACGGAGCTCTAAGATGCGTGCGTGCGTGTGAATGTGCTGCTGGAATGCTTCTCTGGGCGTGCGGCGACCTAAGGCGGTAACCTCGTGGCGCTGTGATGTAACAGTCTGACAGTCACTCCGTTGCAACGCGGGGTTTATTTTTGTATCTTTCCAGAGACAGAGAACGTGGCCGAGGTTCCTGTAGGCTGATTTCCTGGGGGTGGGTTGGGGAGCGGGGGAGACCTCTGGATACGAGTTAACTCCGCGCACTCGTCTCCTAGCCATGGTGTTTTCTCCCCCTCCCCAACCCAGCCTTCCCGGGTCCCCGAAGCAATCTTTCAGCGAGTATATTTGCGAAGGAATTTCAAACATCCATCCCTGCAACTTGATCCGCGTGTGTCGGGGAGCGGCGTGGAGTGAACTGGGCGCCAATCCCATTAAGGGTTTGAAGAGCTGGGGGATTCTCTCTCCCCCACCCCAAGGCTGAAAACAATTGTACAGAGAAGGAACTCAGCTCATCAGGGATGCCTTTATTAATCACCTCCGCCTCACCGCAAAACACACCCGCACCCGATTGCTGTCATTTGCTGGGGTTTCCCTGTTAGAAATTTCCAGTCCCGGCAGAGCTGCACACTTTGCCTCCAAGAGTTGCTCGAGGCGCTGTTAGGCTTGTGCTTTACTTCACTGGAAGTCAGTCGAGATGGGAAACTTAGCGGTCACCACCCGCAAAAGAATATCGCGAATAATAGCCAGGGGCACCTTGTAGCTTCCCTTCTCCAGGGGGCCGAGGTTTGGGAGCGGTTGTTACTTTGACCCTGTGGGGTTGTAAAGCTGTGTGAGGAGATGCTGTGAAGTTTGGGGCTGATTTAAACCCGGAACAGCTGGCAACATAGAGTTTAAGTTTCTCATTTAATTTATCTCATCTGCACATACGGCAACATAAAAAACTTTTTAACACTGTTGGTCAGCTTTCATCCCAAAGGCCACAAAACTTACAATGTATTGGACAAAGTTACACAGTAGAGAAAATAAAAACAAAACAAATTTTAAGAAGTGGGAAGATTCATCTGCACTGAATGTGAAGGCTAACTTTCTGTGTGCGTGGTATATTTACAGACGTTATTCTGACAAACTCCACTACCCCGTATCCTTGAGTTTATGTGAGTTTACTCAGCAGTAAGTTCATTTTTTTTCCAAATGAGCGTTTCTTCCTGACAAGTGCAAGAGACAGCAACATGGGAACAAAATTCAGAATGTGTTTATTCAAAATAAAACCAATTGAGTCCAGGAAAATTTTGGGCTGGAATACACCCATTACAGTACAGTATATAGAAATGAATCCACTGGCATAGAGTGAACATATCTTGATGTTTTGTCTTTTAAATCCATATTACACTTAGTGTATGTTGGTTTCTTTTATTTTATACAGTTTCTCAAATACTATATCTGTCTGTGTACACTTTTGCAGCTCTGGGTTTTGAAGTTCATGTACTATTGACTGTTGCCAATAAAAAGAGCAGTTGTAAAAATCTCTCTCCTTTTTATGCAGTTGGGTCTCGGGGGATGCCCAAGAATTTGAAAGTAAACGTTTCTCTTGCCTGCTGCATAAAATAGCATTTAAACAAATATTGTATTGGCATGTCCTATGGACCCAGTGCCAAAAGGATAGAGTAAATAAATGATAAAATCCAAAATATACAGAAGGAGAAAAACTGATTTCTTGCAAAGCTGCACTGATCTGTTCTGTTTGTTCTAGCTACCTTAGATTTAAGTGAATCCCCTTTTTGTGACTTTCTGTGTACGGGGTTGAAGGTAAAGCAGATTTACTTACATTTGTGTGTGTGTGTGTGTGTGTGGAAAGCAAACCAAATTGCTTTCCTTCACATGGGAAAGAAATTCTTACAGATATCAGTGGGCTTTTCCTAGCTGCAAATGCTTGTTGCACGTTGTTCACACACCAGTGTCTACTGCACATGTGTGTGTGTGTGTGATTTTTAAAGTTTGCCTAAAGTGATTTCTATTTTGTCCCATGTGCCAGGAAATGTTGACACCTGCCTTTGACTTGTCCTCAAAATAAATGACAGAGTATAACGTCTCAACTGGCATGGTCTTTTCTCTCATGTTGTCTCTCAAACAAATTACTCTCAGTGGAACCTTTTGTGGGACAATTAAACATAAGGCAACTTCCAACAATCTTGCTAAGAAAACTGCAGAGTCTATATATATAACTTTCCTAAAGGCTTTAGATAGGCTGCCCATAATTTTTAAAAGATAGAAAAAACAATTAACATTGAACAGTTTCTTCTTAGTGACTTTTTTCATTCTGTGGTGTGCCTTTCCAAAAGAGATAATCTTGAAAATGCAGGTGAGGTGGAAGAGTAATTTGATCCTGAATCCTCTTGTCTTAAGTGAAATGCCCAGAAATGTAACAAGTGTTCTGCAAAAGAAAATATGTCCTCAGAAAGATGGGTTCCAGCTTCCTTTTAATATCCTTCTTTCTTAACCTAGCAAGGAGGGAATAGAGGTGGAGGTATCTCAGTATGTATAAGTGGTGTTTCCCTGTGGTTATGTTCATTTAAAAAGAAGATGAAATATTCAAGCCATTTCCTGTTGCTTTTTCTCTTTTCCTCTGTTGGATTTTGATTAATTGATGCATGACATGCCTAATATTGCTGGGTTTATACGTGGAAGTTTTATTTTTGGAATTCTGATAAACTTGAAATGACACAGTATAAAGGTAGTGCAGGAGAACAATATGCTGAGAAACAAAACCAAGCTGAATAGTTACAAAAAAGATAAGCAGATAGTGGAGGAATTGTATAGTCAGTTTAGGGTGGTCTTTAAAACTTTCTGAGGTGCTGCAGCAGAATGCTTTCTCCCCCCCCCCCCCCCAAGTACATCTGTTGGTTGTATTGCATTCTGAGCAAATGTGAATGAGATGACAGCTTTATCACTCACATTTAATTTCCCACAAGGTAAAAACCTTGTTGACTATATGGGCAATCCTCTGTCAAGGGTTAATTGGATTGCATCCAAAGAAATACATCTATGCAAAATGTAATGTACTTTTATATTTAAATTACTTGATTTGGGGTACAATTTGCTGTACTGGCACCTTGAGAGTTGCAGGACAGAGAAAGAGTTTGGAAGCAGTGGTTACTCACAAAGCTTCCTTCATCAGTTTAGTATATCAAGAGTTTTCAGTTTTGTTTAGGACATAGATCTTCTTGACTTTTGAAAAAAATCATAGCCTTGAACGTACACTTTTTCAGGGGCATCTCCTACAAGAGCAATTTCTTCTAGAGACATTCAAAGCATTTTATAGAAGCTGAATAAATGTTGCTACCCTTGCTCCCTCAACTTCTGGTGGCCTACTGTAAGCCAGTTGTTTGCACTGTGTCCTGAAAGATACACAAATCCTTCAAGCTTTTTGTATTCTCAGAAGTGCCTTGTTCACAACGGAGTTTCCAGGACAGATTAGCAAAGAAAGCAAATGCAGCAAGCAGCTTTCCAAAACTCTCTCTCTGTATTTGTGTAGCAAATACCCCACCATTGCTTTCCTTAGAGTGAGCACACTTCACCATCTTACCCAAAGATTTTTGAAGTAGTAAGTTAAAAAAAAAAAAAGAGCTTATTTTGAATGCCTCCTCTTTAAAAAATGTGGTTATTATCTAATTATGGCTTCAAGCCTTCTCTAACACTTCATGGGCTGTGAATGTTTGCCTGTAAGCTGCTGCTGGTTCAGCTGTCTGAATTTCTATGAATGAAGTAAATTGCACTGTGTTAATTTGCTTGAAAAGTGTTTGACGTATACTCAGAATTAGGGTGACTATCAGAAAGAATTAACATTTTGAAGGAAAACCCTTTAGGGTCAATTATTTCTTTAACACACACAGCCATAATGACAACAACATTCTTACTTAAAAGTGGCTAAATTTTAGCATAGTTGTATATACTCACTGGACACTTACTGTGTGATCCTTGCACTTAAGGATAAAATGCAGAAGGAGATATGCAATTTGGAATATTATATTCCACAAATTGAGTGACTCTGTGGGTAGGGTAGTAGCAACAAGGACTCTTTATATGGATTGTACTTGAAGATTATACATTTTATCCAGGAGTCTTATGGAGACATAACTGAGTGAAACCATTTGTTTAAATCCTGAAGAATGTTTATGAAGTTCAGTTTCTGTTCATCTTGGTTATCCAGAGTAGCAGGGCCAGAACTCACAGAGATTTGTAGTAACACAAGATATCAATTCAGAGTTTCCAGTTTAGAAAAA